ACGATCATGAACTATTCATAATGAACGATACAACACTTATGATGAATAATACAACATTATGATCATGATACATGTTAAATTGATTCATTATTCATGATGAATAATACACGTACATCATGAATGATATATCATTATGATGAATAACCGGTGAAAGTGTGAGACACATGTTGCACTCTCCTTTATTCTTCGGTTTACAACTGAAAATCGGTTTTCATTTGAATCCACTCCTATACACACACACACACACATATAATATAGATATATATACACACACATATATATACATTATATGTACATACATACACACACATATATGTGTACATACATACACACACATATATATGTACATACATACACACATATACATGTACACACACACGAACACATATATAGATATATATAGGATTGGGTTCATGTGAGACCAACATATTTTCGTGAGACTACTTTTTTACACTTGAAATTTTACAGCAAAACGTTGTGAAGGTAAAAAAAATCTGAATATTCACAGCAAAAACTCTGTGAAGTGTTTTTGTTGTAAAGTTTCAAATGTAAACCCAACATATATATATATATATATATATATAAACAAGCTGTCACGAAGATTAAAAAGTCCAGGTAGACATAAATGATTCTTGGTACAAAACGAATTACCCAATTATTAATCATTCTGTTTTTTCTATTGTTTTTGTCTGTGAATCTGATATGTTAAGAATTCTTTTTCATATTATTTCATACCAAGTAGTCACCTTATTTCATACCAAGTAGTCACCAGTAAACCCATTCATCAATGACTTATAATAAATTCTGATCAAAACTAAAAACATCAACAAAATGGGCCCATCATAACACACCATCATCTCTAATATAAATCAATATTGGAATATATCATAAATTATACAGAGACTTTTCAGCAACTAAACATCCTACTCATACTTATATCAACTTACACTTCTTGTTCATATGGTTTATTAAAAATTGTGGATTTTGAAATTTTGATTTTCGTCCTCATATTTGCAATTCATTTTTTTTTTCCGTCTCTAAGGTCAAACCATTACTTCTAAGTATGAAAGTCTAATTTTAAACCATAGGAACGAAAAAAACAATAAATTTTAAGTCATAAGGACGAAAAAGGTATTGAATTATTAACTATAAGAATGAAAACCGTGATTTCAAAGCTAAAAGTACAAAAATAGAAATTTTCAACAAACTATAAAAACTAAAAACGTAATTTAGGGTTTAGGGTTTACTCTTATTTGTTTACTATCAATGACTACAACATATTGATGATACTATTTGCAGTAAACCATCACTTCACACTTAATTTATGCCTTCTAGCTATCGATTTTGTTTTTTTATGGTAAAACAAATAGACCGTTATTCTGTCATATTTTTTTTAAACCGTTATTTATGTCATAAATCATTTTTATCTGTAACTTTAAAAGTAGATATAAAATTAAAAAAATATAATATCCATCGTTCTCATATTTAAATATCAAAACTAAAAATTAATTATTTAATCCATTTTTGTAACTGAAAAAAATGAGGAAATTAATTTGACACGTCTGAAAATAAGCATATAAATCGTGTGGACCAGAAAAGGTCCCAGACCCACATGGCATGTACCGCGTTACACACAATCTCTCCCAAGGGTCCCGTCGAATAGTAATCCACACATGGGGAGTGTCGCCTTCACCCGACAATACGCTGGTCCAGCGTCACATGGTATACTTCCCCCTTGGGTGGTACCGTTATCTGACGGTCCAGCAACACCTCCGTGTGAAGAATTGTAATAAATCATAGCCGTTGATGAGGTGGACCAGGGTTGGGCTGTGTTCCCTGCTTTATTGAAAGGCGACCAACATTTTAGCTGTGCCAAATGACAAGGTGTCCCTTCCCACTCCCACACCTACACCTCACGCGCTCTATACACTTTCAACTTTTTTTTTTTTTTGTCTTTTGACTATTTGACTTTTTTAAACTTTAATCCTTTAATTTTTGTTAGGACCATTTTATAGATGGTAAATTAGGATTAAAAGGTATTAAGGGATACATTTATTACTTAAAATTTCAGTTGATATTTAGAGTTTTTAAGTTTTTTATTTTAAAAATAAAACAAATGCTCTTAATACCCAAACGTCTGAAAAAATCAGACTTCAGATATATTAAAAAGTAATTAAAAAAAAAACAAACAGACCCTTAATGTCTTATTTATTAGTTTATGTATATAACTTAATTTAAATTATTTATTATCATTGATTCATTGAGTAATATTAGAAAAATATGTTTATGTATATAATATTAAATATCATATGGAGATTTACCGTCACAAGTCGTACATTGAAAAATATTTATTTGGCTATTTATTTTTTTTATTAAAACACTTTAATTTTTAAAATAAAATTAATGGGTACTTGTCCAAAACATGTCATTTTTAGGCCAAACATGGCTCTTTGACTAGAAATTGTGGTTTTCACAATTGGTATGAGAATTATTTAAGCTGTCAAAGAAATAAAGCAACGTTATCGTTCAATTCTAACTGGTAATAAATCCCGGCACTTCGTAGTATTTGATTGATCATAATTCTGTATATTTCATTTACTATAAAAGCTACCAGGGAAGTCATTAGAAGGATCTTTCGTTTTTTATATGTAACTTGGTCATATCATTTGACCAATTGCAACTTCTTTTTTTGAATATTTGAACGGCAAATGCGACATTTTGATATCGATAACAGACATTATAAATACACATTAGCTGTTGTATTGTTAGACAAGTTGGTAGGTAGCTGAGAGCAACTTTAGATATCAAGATGGAGTAAATGCTAAGTTGGAAGACATTTGATTATAGATCGGGAACAGTGGTCAGTATTCTCATTTTTATTGATGATACCATGAAATTATTATAACTGTCATGAAGATCATGACAAATGGAAACAACGTTATTTTCGATTTATGGGAAGATAGAGGGGAAGCACAGAGGAATTTATTCCGAAGACAGGTAGAAAATGACATCGTATGCAATAATCTTACCTTGCAAACGCTTACCAGTAAGAGTCGTCACCATCACTTACCGCGTAAGATTCTCGTTTCTTGTCTTGTATAAAACGAAGGTGAAATAAACCTATGTGCACTTCATCTTGCAATTTTTTATCTATTAATTTCTAAATAACCATGATTTGTCGAACTTATCATAAGATTTAGTAAAGATAAAGCGAATCAAAGGCTAACAAACTTTACCTTAATTATTCCTTAATGGAACAATGTTTTTTTTTTTTTTTTACAGTTAGTGGTTGTTTACCCTTTAATAGTTTTATTAAGAGACAACATCTGAATTATTAATAGGTGAATCTTGTTTTGCAAAAAAAAATGTCTCTTAATGGTTCTAAAACCCTCTGAATGATTTTGTATCATAGGCCTCTCTTTAACCATTAAGCACCATAATTTCATTGTAAACGATTACCAAACAATTATATTTTATTGCACTATATTATGAAAGTCTCTTAATCATTCTGCACCAAATCATTCAGGATCTAGCAAACAGCCATTTAGTGGAACAAAACTTTTGATTCTTCTTATTACGATAAATAGACATGTACTCTCTTTATCTCAAAATAAATATCTATATTTAAGAAGACATACAGTTTTAGGAGTGTGTAATTTATTATTACACTTTTTAACTAACAAAAATAACAGCTTTACCCTTAATTATAGCAGTGAAACTTTTCTCCATATTATAATTAAAGGTAGAATGAGAAAGTAAACAATTACTTTTGAAAATGAATGCTTATTTTAAGACAAACTAAAATAGTAACATAGACACTTATTTTGAGACGAATAAAGTATATAAAAGCTCCAATAAATTTTCAAATACGGATAATCAAAAGTCAAAACTTCAAAAAAAAAATTATTTCCATCCCCAACAACTTATTCATTTTAAAGACTACAATATTAATTATATTATTAAAATATTTAATATAATTAATAAAATATTTTTTTTTTCTCTAAACATTTAATTTCAAAGATTCTAAGAAAAATAAAAATAGTTTCTCCTTTCTAAATAATAATTTTTGTAGAGTCCTCCAAATTTGAAGAATTTCATCTTTTGTCTCATACTTTCTCTATTTTAAAGAAGGTTTTGAAGAATCTGTTGGAGCAAAATTCTCAAAAACGACCAGTTTAACGAATTTGTTCGAAATGCTCTAAAAACACCTGTGTTAATATACCTATAGAAGTGACACCGTCGTAATTTGAGAAGGTAGCTAAAGACAAAAAAAAACAATTTATATCCCGGTTCGCATATCTCCTTATAACCCTTTTTTTAAATCTTTTAACTACCTTTGTAAATTACGAAAATACCACTTATGATAACATTTAAGTAAACAGAGTAAGGAATAACTAGAAGGGTAAATTGCATGAAAAACTAACGTACTTTAACTTGATTCCTATTTTAAGTAACGTACTTTCAAAACTTACATTTTGAAACCAAAAAAATGTACAATTTTGAACATTTAAATACCCAGATAACCTGTTGAAGCATTAACCGGTTGCCATACTGATGTGGCGAATGATGAGATGAAATTGAGTTGAATAACAAATAATACGGAGTTGAATACCACATCACTCGTCACATCAGTATGGTAACCGGTTATCCCGAGTACTTAAATGTTTAAAACTTTACATCTTAAATACCAAAATAAAAATTTTAAAACTACGTCAATCAAAATAAAAATCAAAATACGTTACTTTTCCATACAAGATGTCATAACTAAAAGAATCCAATTAAAACGATTTGTATCAACTTGGGAGAAATGTTGTAGGGGAAAAATGTGAAGTAAATAGTGGATAAGGGAGCGCGTGGGCTGGTGGGGACTGAAACTTTCATTCATGCACAAAGATAGCAATAACTCGCCTCAAACTCCCAACCACTATCCTTCTCTCTCTCTCTCTCTCTCTCTCTCTATATATATATATATATATGTAACACATCTTCTACATTCCCAAAACCACCCACAGATTACCAATTTCCACTTTTCCCTCACTCGCCGGAAAATCAAGATTCCGACAGCCGGAGATCATCATCATTATCAGCTTCATACCTAATTAACTACTCTTAGATCAACCATTTACATGGATCTTAATTACAAAGCAACCGAGTTACGACTAGGGTTACCGGGAACCGACGACTTGCCGGCCACCATGAAAAGTAAGAAAAGAAGTTCGCCGGAGATGTGTCCAGATGAATCAAGATCCATCCCGCCGGCGAAGTAAGTACTGATATAATTTATAGTATTTGAAATGATTATCAAGCTTCTAGCTAGTAGACGTGTAATTAAGATGCATAAACTTGTGAAATGGGTTTCAGGTCACAAGTCGTGGGATGGCCGCCGGTGAGATGTTACCGGAAAAATGCATTGCAAGGGAAGAAGATGGAGGTTGGATCATATGTAAAAGTGAGCATGGATGGAGCTCCATATCTGAGAAAAGTGGACCTAAGAGTGTACAAGAGCTATGGGGAATTGATGAAGGGTTTGGAAGAGATGTTCAAGTGCATAATAGGGTTGTACAACGAGAAGGAATTAGGGTACAATGGATCAATGCATGCACCAACTTATGAAGATAAAGAAGGAGATTGGATGCTTGTTGGTGATGTACCATGGGACATGTTTCTTACTTCTTGCAAGAGGTTAAGAATCATGAAAGCCAATGAAGCAAAAGGGTTGGCTATTTAAATAATTACTTTTACTTTTTTATTTTATAACATCAAATTGTAAAAAAAAATGTATATTAGATTCATTATGAATTTGAGTTATTAAAGAAAATTTTGGAGTATTTTTGGTAGAAATAGAGGGATGGTTTTGTTTTTCTCAAGGAAAATAAACAAACAAACAAACATATATATATATATATATATATATATATATTGGACAATTACATTATTATGTACACTCTTCATATACACGTATTTGTAATATATTATCTGTCTCTATATAACTCATTCGTATATGTTCAGTAATTGTGAATATATATATATGTAAATATGATATACGTAGAATTTAAGAAGTATGGATAAGTTGTATCAAATGGTTGATGATAAAAAAAAAATTATTAGTAGAGAAATAACATATTCAAGGGTAGAAGAATATTTTAATGTACCAAAGTACTAACCCAACCAATCCGTACAGTTTGGGTTGGGTTGGGTTGCATTTTCCTTTGAGTTGGGTTTGGTTAAAAAATTTCAAAGTGCAAACATTAGGTTGAATTGTTCAAATGTCTTCAACCAGACCCATGAGCACCACTAGTTGTATCTCTATAAGACTTGGATCTTTAGGGTTCTTCTGTATGGGTCGTCGGTTTGAGTCCTTTCAAGTCCATTTCGGATTTTTTTTACTATTCTTCAAAACCTCGTGGTATTAATTGAGATACGCACAAACAAATCCAGAGACACACAATTAAAAAAAATATATATATAAAAAACTTTACATGTGCTATCAATTTCTTATCTGTTTGAAAGAAAAAAAAGAAGCTAAAAGTATGCTATTTGGGATAGACATTAAGATAAATGAAACTTACTATTTTTGGACATATGATCAACAAAACTTAGGATTAAACATTATGATCAATAAAACTTTTTATTTTTGGATAAATATACAATTAATAGAACTTCTTTATCCAATAAAACTTGTTATTTTTAGATGAACATACGATCAATGAAACTTGTTATTTTTAGATGAACATACGACCAATAAAATTTGTGTATCCAAATGTGTTTGTCTACGTAATGTCCAAATAGCATATGATCATAAAACGGGGAATCCAACAAAACTTGTTATTGGGTAATTGGTATGGATTTCATGATCATATGCTAATTGGGATAGAGATAAGAGCATTTCTAACGGCTTCTTTAATTGGTATAGATATCATATCATGATCATATGTTATTTGGGATATAGAAAATTAATTTTTTGTTGTCTATAATGCTTCAATAGCTTCCCTATCTTATTTTCTAAAATAAAGAATCATAGAGAAAATTCTCAATGTAAAAAGTTCTCTAAAACACTAAAGAGAATTAATGGTTTTTTCATTCAAAAAAAATAGTTCAGAGACTTAATTATTCAAAATAAAAAAAGTTTAATGTTTTTTCATTCAAAAAAATGGTTTATGGACTAAAACATTCAAAATAAGAAAGTTCGTTTGGTTTTTTTTAGACTTTTCTCAAGGAAAATTAAACAATGTATTGTGATCATAAAATTATAAAATATTTAAATAATATAACTAACAATGAAATCTCTAAAATAGAGAATCTATTAAAGTTGAATATAATTTATTTTAAAGATTTTAATTTTTGATTCTTTTTTTAATGAAATTATAGAGAATATGTTGCTCTAATTTATTGATTATACAAATTAAATTGATCCAATTCAGTTTAAAGTTGTGACTTATATTCTAACTTAATTAGTCGACTCAAAAAGTGTTTTGTATCATTCAACCCAATTATTTGTTTATATACATATTTATTAACAGTATAAGGGTATCCATACAATATAACAAGATATATCTTGATTTTAATATTTCGTTTTATTTCTTTGTCTCTGCCGATGTTATAATATAGTCTTACGTAGTTTGAGAAAACGATGTCGTCTTTATTTTTTAATAAACTATAAATTTAAAAATATCATAAAAATTAACTATTTAAAAGTTCTCATTTTTTGTATATAAGTTAATTTTTCGCTTTGATTTAAATAACGAAGTAACTTATTGTTAGTTTAATGATGGGAAAATTGCACCAAAATGGAACCAACTTTCACCTGATTCCTATTTTGAGGAACCAACTTTCAAAATCGTCATTTTGGGGAACCAACTTGGACCTGATTCATATTTTGGGGAACCAACTTTCAAAATCGTCATTTTGGGGAACCAACTTTCACCTGATTCCTATTTTGGGGAACCAGCTTTCAAAATCGTCATTTTGGGGAACCAACTTGSACCTGATTCCTATTTTGGGGAACCAACTTTCAAAATCGTTATTTTGGGGAACCAACTTGCATCTGATTCCTATTTTGGGAAACCAACTTGCAAAATAATTATAGAAAAATAATTAAAATTCATTTCTTTTCAAAAATTAATGCAATAAAATCTATTTTTTATTTCAAATCTCGTTTTTTTAATTCAGATATCAAATTGAAGATTTTTCGAAAATAATCCAAATTACCACGATAAAAATTGTTTTTTACTAATGCAATAAAAAAATCAATTGATGCAATAAAAAATAAATATTAWATATCACATTCAAGATTTTTATATCTAACCAATCTGTGTCAATATTAAAGTTTAAATCAAATTTGGCAAATCCAACCAAAAGTTTGATAGAGACACTTAAATTATCTGTTACCTGTTCAACAGATCAATCAGACCATTAAATAAACAAAAAGTTCGATAGAGACCCCTAAATGACGATTTTAAAAGTTGGTTCCCCAAAATAGGAATCAGGTGAAAGTTGGTTCCATTTTGGTGTAATTTTCCCATTTTTCTATAATTATTTTGCAAGTTGGTTCCCCAAAATAGGAATCAGGTGAAAGTTGGTTCCATTTTGGTGTAATTTTCCCATTTTTCTATAATTATTTTACAAGTTAGTTCCCCAAAATAGAAAATAGGTGCAAGTTGGTTCCCCAAAATGACGATTTTGAAAGTTGGTTCCCCAAAATAGAAATYAGGTGAAAGTTGGTTCCCCAAAATGACGATTTTGAAAGTTCGTTCCCCAAAATAGGAATCATGTGAAAGTTGGTTCCATTTTAGTGCGATTTTCCCTTTAATGATATATATGATTATCTTAATTATGTTTAGATTTTTTATATTTAAAATGATATGTTTAGTTATACGAATTCAAATATGCGCAAAATTTAATTGTAATCGTGAATTTTAAATAATATACATCAATAAACAATACATTGATTTTTAATTTTTTTTTTGTCAAAATACGTAATAATATTATTATAGATAATTGAAGTCAATAGTGTCTTCCTCTTTTAAAAATGAAAGTCTGTCTTGGGTGGGTATGTAGGTATAAATTCCCCACTTGAATCATTTTTAAATAAAAAGAGTTGAAGACATGAAAACCAATGATTGTGTTTGAACATCCTAATTATAATCAAATGGCTGGCTTGATGGTGTTATAGAAACACCCAGGAAACCAGTTCAATTATTTTTATTCTTAATATGGACTTTCATTATTGCAAAATTTTAAAAAATATTTTCTTACAAGAAACATGTCATTAGACATAGATTTTTTTCTTTTTACTTTTAGAGGCCATTTACCGAACGGTTATTCAGCAAGTGCTTAATAGCAATAGTTAACCCTTTCACTTACCTTATCCAATAACGTTCTTGGCCATCGAGGTGAATTGTTGGTAAGATCTCGTACCCAAGTAGGAGTCTATTTCCTCACCACTAAGGGGCTGTTTGGATCATGGGAATTTGGTGGAATTGAAAGGAATTGGAATGTCCAATCCTTTGACCAAATTCCAAATATGATGTTTGGTTCACAGATTATAAGCGAATGAATCCTTTCAATTCCTACAAATTCATTCGGTCACCGATTTCACAATTCCACTTGATGTACCAAGGATTTCAAATTCCTTTCCTACRAATTCCTTAGCCYTCATCCAAATTTYAGATATTAGTAATATAAGTAAACAATTTCAAATTTTATCTGATGTTAATAATGTAATTTGGTTTAATGGTAATTTTAATTTAAAAAAAATGACAAAAAAATCATAAAAAGTCATTTGTTGATATTTAATTTCCGATTCCAAAGTTGAATTCCGTGAGCCAAACAAAAAAAAATTCCAATTCCGTTAAGAATTCCATTCCAATTCCATGCAACCAAACGCAATCACAAAGTCATGGTCAAATTTCATCAGATTTCATTTCATTCCCTCAAAGTCAAATTCATTTGATGAATTCCAATTCCATTGAATTCCATTCTACGAACCAAACGCCCCCTAAGATTCTTGGTCCTTGCTATGCGTCTTACCGGGTAAAGACTTTGTACTCCAAGATTACCGACATGGGTTCATATGATTCCGTTAAAAAAGCAATGTATTGCATGAAATACAAGATCACTATAAAATTATTGCTCTGGATAAGACCATTTCTGCTCTGGGGAGCGTTTTACAACTAATATTTGAAGGAATTTGCAGACTGAATTTATCATCATACCTGGAGTTTGAAGGTGATATTGCTTTTCCCCAAAAGATTGTCATGCTTCCAAGAGGGTGAAGATGAAAGTTAACGTCTGAAAAAAGAAATTGTGATTGAAGATTAAAGAGATGTTTGAAAATACCATTGAAGTGCAAGCATTATAAACCCTAAAAATTGGTCATCTCACAGAAAAAAGATCACTTCGCAAAGTGTTTTGCGGATCCTAAAAGTAAAATATGACAAAAGTAGCAGTCTATGATTCGGCCAAAAAGTGAAAAAAATACATCTTGCAAAGTCGGAAGAAGTTCTCGAACTTTGCAAACTCTAGGGGGGGGGTTGGTTCGATGGAATGATTTTGAGGGATATGGATTTCGGGGAAGGATTTGGATCTTTGGTTTGCAGGATTTGGAATGGAATTCAATTCTATTCTCTATAGAAACAAGTTATAAATAATTATAAAAATAATTAAATTACCTTTTCTTAATTGACTATTACAAAACAAATGTTGTTAACATATTTTAAAATACCATTACATACAAAAAATCCTACGAAGTCCCATGAAATACCAACCACCCCCATGGGATTTCAAAACTCTATGTTTGTATCAAATCCTTCACACTGAACATGGGATTGGAATGTAATTCGATTCTAGATCCATCCAAATCCAATCCATTTCTACAAACCAAACGGGACCTAGTACTTTTGTACTTTTCCCACTTCAATAGTCAAGATTCATACAAATAAGCTGAAAAAGCGCATCTCGCAAAATCCACTTGGTGGAGTTCACAAGACATTGAGCAAACTAGTTGGCTATTTTGTAAGAACCTGATTTTTTTGGATATTTGGTGATCCCCCCCCCCCCCCTCTTTTCCCTCTCCCTCTCCAAAATGGCTAATTAAGTCATCAACCCTAAAATATCACAAATTTCAACAAGACAAGGCCGAAGTAGTTATAACAAGTATTCAATGTTGGTTTTGACTCTCTTTTTGTATGTGTTAGCTAAACAAAGAGCCTTGTTTCACTTGTCAAGCCTAATATATTTAATCCCAATAGAAACCATAATGATATGAAATTCCTCCAGTAGCATCATTTCTAACCAAGGCAAACTCCTTTGCATCACATACAACTAGCCTTAGAAACTAGAAACAACCCTTTCCGTGTAGAACAAGGCACACTTCAAGCATCTCATATTGGAAATGGGCACAAACTAAGTTCCGTTAAAATTTTGACCTCCAAATAACTTAGTCTAATACAAGTGTCCAATTACTCACAAATATATAAAGAAAGCGTAATTCTATAGACAAAATAAGTGTGATTCGATATTTTAGAATTATACTAATAGGTAAGAAGGATTTTGGCTTGATACTTCATTGATAGGGATGTTGCAAAACAATTTATGGGATACATGAGTAGCATAGATTGCATGATAAGTTTAACGACAATATGCCGAGTCTTAAAGAAGAACTAGTAACAAAAAAAAAGATGGAACAAATAAAAATTGCATGATAATGGCTGAAAGTGAAACCTGCCTTCTTTCTATTCACTTAATATTAAGGTTTTGGGGCTGTGCGAAAAAATCCTTTGCGTTCCTTGCTACCTCTGCCTGCAGAATCGACTCTAGCATGATGTCAGACCCCTGTGCTTCAGCTGGAATTGACAATTTAAACAGGAATTACTATTGCATGCACATCCATATACTATGTTTTTTTGCAAAAAAGAATATTAAGTGGTCACAGTGTGAAAGAAATAGAATTGTAATCACCCTTGCGAATAGGCAACAATCCTGTGTCTTCAGCTGATACAGGAAGAACTGTTAGACCAGATTCATCAGTAAGCTCACTGATAATTTTATTACTTGTAGGTTCAGTGCGCATAGCTGCAGCCTCGGCCAACCTCGCATAAGCAGTAGCTTGTCTGTGCATATCTGATGAGGGCAAGGCGGCTGAGGCAGTTGTACTATAAACCTGGGGTGCAAAAGATCAAAATCATCAACAATTGTCACTACAAATCATGTTCATAGATCAAAGCTTTAAGCTTTAGACCTTAGAGGCAGCGGTTGTTGCCGTTGGTGCATCATCACTCGGTTTTTCAAGATCAGTGTTCCCTAAATTTCGGAAGAAGTATATCATATCAGAGACAATGACAAACATGGATATCCAAATATTCTACTACAAAAAAGGAGGTTTGACGATGGAACCTCTTGTCTCTGGAGTCTGGCCAACATTGTCCATTAGCGTCCTTGTTAATGGACCAGGATTCACGAAGGAAATTGCTCGCATTTCATGACGTATGGCGTCCATTTGAGCAAGAGCATCTTGAAGTTCCTTGTGCACCTGAATTAGAAAGAAAAGGAAAAAAAAACTATTCGAAACGATCAAACGAACAATAATGAGAGATATGATGTTAGAATTCAAGATTGTTCAGTATGAAAATCATTGGGAACAAGACCTTGAACTTGTACTTGAAAATGAACATGAACTATCAAAAGAAAATGCCTTCAACCAGAAAACACACCATGATCCTAGGTTGTATTCTCATACAATACTCTCTTCGGTCCATATATGTATATATATACATATATATAGAGAGAAGCGATCAAAATGCAAACCACCTTTATTTGTACAAACCGTGCAAACCACCATCATCCGTCGATTTCATTGTTTAATCTTGTGAAGTTTTTTCATATAATACTTTTTTTTGATGGAGTTGTTTCATATAGTACTTATGAAATTTTAAAGAAACTGTTTCATGTATTTCTCTAAAATTAATATAATGAAGATGATAATATC